GCTAAATTAAGGATTTCTTTGTAACTGTTTCCAAGGAAAATGAAAAGAAATTTGTTTAATTTTGTTTTTCCTTTTTTTTTAAGGAAGGACTCTGCTTAAGTCCAGTGATCAACTATTTCATAGTTAACTGTCATGCAGGGCAAATGCAAGTATAATCAATGTGAATCATTAAGCAAAACACACTTGTGATATGTCCGAGTGGTTAAGGAGAGACTTGAAATCTATTGGCCTTTGTATGTTCCTCATTCACCTGTACAGTATTAGGTCTTCTTGAGCAATGAAGATACGGAGTAGATATTAAAGTGTTTCAAATACTAACAACGTAGTCAATATGTCCGAGTGGTTAAGGAGATAGACTTGAAATCTATTGGGCTTCGCCCGCGCAGGTTCGAACCCTGCTTTTTGATTTTTTTCATTAGTTTTGTCCAGCAAAAACAACGAAATTGTTTTGGAGGAGACATGATAATGATGTTGGTAAGCTTTATCAGAGTAAATAGTTATATACGCAAAGAAAGAAGAAGGGAAAAAACTCATTGAATAAACTAAGTCGCCAAAACTAAGTCGGAATTGCAAACAACATAACCTCGTTATATAGTAGTATCAGGTAGGAGCAAAACTTGAGGAAACATTCAAAAACAATATAACGATAAAACTCAGTACTTGACGGATGCAAGAACGTCAAGCTGAGATCCAAGCTTCTCTTCAGCAACCTTCTCGGCTTTAGCTCTGAGTTTGTTGAGTTGCTTCTTTCGCTCGTAAACCACTTGAGCTCTTTCCTTTCTCTTGTTCTCCAGCTCCTGTTCATTTTTATCAAATATCACATTCATTAGCTTATATAATCAATCTTTCTAACCAAGGCATTTGCATTTCGATACGTATCTATGATTCTTATGACATAATCCTAAAAGAAAACATTTATGTGGTCTCCTTAAATGGGGAACAGAAAGCACATAAGAGGAACTAACGGCGAGGTGAAACATACCTTGATGGTATCATAGTGGTTCCACCCGACTTCAGAAGAAAGACGGCCCAGCAGACAGTATTTGTGGCCAGCCTGTAGCCTCAAGACCCTGATCAAGGAGGAAGATTAATACGTATAAGAGATTATTACTACACATAAATAGATATTACAGAAAATAGGAGCAATTTGAGAACGAAAGGGTAAAAGTACAAACTTGAGAGCATCAGGAATGACCATCCTCTTGATCTTGTCATATGGAGTAGGAACACCTTCAAAGACCTTCAAGCGAGCAAGGGCCGCAGCTCCACGCTTAGTTTTGTGTGGAATCATACTGACAACAATACAGGCACTAGTAAGTTAGCTAGAACTACTTTCAATTAGCAAATTTCTAATACGATTGGCTCATTTCAATGTCCAACTACAAAACCATCAAAAGTTGATCTCAAACGAAATCCCCGAGCAAATCAATGACGAATATTTGCAAGAACTCATGACACCATCCATACATAAACTGAAAGAATATGACATCTGAATACAGAGCAGTAAAATGAAGTACGATAATGTAAACTCTTATTCTAGATCCAATACAGTGTTTTAGATAACTAGCAACGAATCCTAAGCTACATTATGCACAGCACCAAATTCCAAAAACTCAATAGCGAAAGATTAAAAGAGAGAGAGAGAGATCGATGTACGAACCCACGAACAGTTCGCCAGAAGATCTTGGACGGAGCACGGAAGTGAATGGGTCCGTGAGACGGCTTAGTGTTCATACGCTTACGGAGAAACCTCATGTACTTCATCTTCTGACGAACAAGTCCACCTGAGAGACAAATCTCCTCGCACCGAACAACCACAACTTTCTGGCCATTGAGCAGCTCCTTCGCAATTATCGAAGCCAATCGACCAAGCATGTGGTGACGAGCATCAACCACGACGCGTTTCGCGCAAATCCCTGATCCAGACACCATTTCTAACCCTAGTTTGATCTGGTTTGCTACTCTTCTCCGGTGGTGTGTTTACAAAATGCAATTCGGAGGCACTTCTTTAGAAGAATTAGGGTTTTGCTGTAACCTTTTAGACTTTGTTATTGGGCTGAGACAAGTGGGAAGTTGAGTTATGTAGTCTAAGATAATAAGGCCCATCTTACCTCTCAATTAATTGGGGGTCAAATCCTTATCTTCAAAACTATGGATACTATTTTGCAAAGTATCAACTCTTGGGGAAAAAATGTGAAAGTAGAAAAGAAGAAGAAAATTTATGAAGAAGAGACGACACATTTACGTGAAGTGTGACAACTAACTAACGTGGATTCTGCAACTCATACGATATGAGCGATTTTTATGACAGAACAAATCTCAAGTCTCAAGAAACAGAGAATCAAATAAAAAGTTTCCTACTTCGTCTGAATATTTTTATACCAGAAACTTTGAGAATCTATCGTTTGAGATGGCCGGAAACGGAAAAGTTTTAAACTTTGCCGAGCTTTCTAAGCACAGTAGTCGTCAAGATTGTTGGCTCCTTATTGACGGAAAGGTAATGTCTTGTTCTTTATCAGAAGTTTTTGTCAGAACTTCGATGATCAGTTTGTGTAATTTCGGGAAAAAAACAGGTTTATGATGTGACAAAGTTCTTAAACGACCATCCTGGTGGTGATGATGTACTCTTGTTAGCTACAGGTAAAAAAGCTAAAGATTGACCCAACAAAAAAATCTATTTTTGACAATCATAGTAATGAGTTTTGTAATGAATTATTGATTTTGATGATACGTGTTTTGTTTTGATTTAGGGAAAGATGCGACTAATGAGTTTGAAGAAGTGGGTCATAGTTCGTCTGCAAATGCCATGTTACATGAGTTTTATGTCGGTGACATAGACTCAACCACCAAGGCCAATGA